CACAAAAGCAAAAAGCTTTCACACACATGCGACACACCTACTTCATGGACTCGCACGAGCGACAGCTAACGCTTGTTTGGTCAGCGAAAGCTCACTAATACTTGTGCATTAGCGGAAGCACAGATCCAATTTAAGCTGAAGCAAACTAAAGAAGCAAAATGACAATCATAGCGAGAGGCAATAGGAAGAAGCACAAAAAGAGCTAAGGCCATAAGCAAAAACAAATCAGCAAAATGAAAAGGGTCCAAAGAAGCATGTTTTAAAAGAGAAGCAATAGATAGAAACAGAAAGAATTAAAGCAATAGGCAAAGCAAAGCGAAACAAAAACAGCGAAGAGGAAAGATTCGATTGAAGCATTGATAAGCAGCAAAGGAAACGAAAAGGGAGAAGCAATAGGCAGAAGCACAATTAAAAAAGCGATAAGCGAAGAGAGAAACAAAAAATTCGAGAAATGAAAAGCGTCAAAAGATATGCAGCAAAGTGAAAAGAAAAGCGAGAAGCAATAGAAAGTAGCACAGAAAATAGCAAAGCAAGAAGCACTAGTAAGAAACAAAGTGAGAAGCTAGAGCAAGAAGTTAAAAGACAAGCAAAGCCGGAAGCAGGATCGATAAATAGAGGCAAAAGTATTATCGAAAGAGAGAAGCGATCTGATAAAAAAATATAAATACCAAATGAGAGATAAAGGGAAAATCAAAGCGAGAAGCATAGAGAGAAGCACAAAAAATATCAAAGTAAATCATGAAGTGAACCCAAAGGTGCCTTAAAAGGCACAGCAAGTGTTACCATTGCTGCCCTCCAAAGCTCACCAATACCAAAGCAACAGCGGGAAAGCTCACAAAGCGGTGCGATAGCAGCGCAATGCGCTGTCGAGGCACACACACAGACACACACGCACACACAGCCAGCCATACAATATGCATAGCGCCAAATAAAACATAAAAAGACGAGGGGGAAGTGCCTGCACGCCGCCGGTCAACTGCGGCAAACGGGTTGTTTTTCGCACATATCGGTAGACGTCGACGGCATGTGAAAACCTTTTTAGTGACATGAAAAATGTGCAGCAGCAATAACTGAAAAAATATTAAAAAAAAAAAGTGGCGAATAAAAAAAGTAAAAGGAACAAAACCGAGGCGGAATTCTAAATAATAAAATGGAAATGAAATGAATCGTTTTGAAAACCTGCAAAGGCTATTGAAAAAATATTGTCAGCATCATCAGGCAGACGGCGCAGGGGCGCAATCAGATGGGGCTTTTCCAGCCCAAAATTAAACCCCAAAAGAAGAGAAAAAAATAAAAGAAAAATACAAAAATAACAGAAATCATTTAACCACAACGAGATGGGCATACAAAAATAGCCCGATATGGCCAACTGTTTTGCATTTGGCTGTCCCTGGCTGGGACAGAGGGAGAGAGGAAGCGGGTGGAGTCTATCAGTGGGTAGGGGGCGGTTGTTGGTAGGTGACATACGTGGTTATGAATTGAATAGGGGCATATTAAACAACTGCCAGAGTGTTGAGTTTTTTGCCGCTGTTGTTGTTATTTTCGGGTGGTTACCAGCACTTACCGGAATGGCCGACGGGTCCGGCAAAAGTGGAATTTGATTTGATTGGATTGCAAACTGAATGCATTTGCTTCTGATAGGTTCGCGAGGCAGCACTTAATTGCCAATGTCTACCCAATTTGCAATGATCCGCCCAGTCCACTCGCTGGCTTGTAAATTGTTTTGACAGGCTTTTCCACAGTTGAGCCCTGTGATAGCATCTAAAAATCTCAGCAATAGATTAGATATCGATATCGATATCGATAATCGCATTAAATGTTTTTAAATAAACATATCACTTAAGCCAACTCAGCTCTATCCATTAATTATCGACAAATCGTGTGACCTCTAAACAACCCATTTAAGTAACCTTGAAAAATGTACCTTTTAATGATAGAATAAGTCACATCCAACATATGTAAATATACGTATTTTATGCGATTATTTTCGAAAACTTTGGAATGAGCCTACCCAAAAAAATGTTGTTTGTGTGTAGTTGAATGCCAGCTCAGATCACAAGAGCTCCTTTGCAAGTAGCTTGACTCAACAATCGATATGTTATCGATATCTAATAGTCGCAATAAGTAAAAAAAAAAACACAGACAACAAACCTCTTTAAAAGAAAAACAGTTCTTTCAAGTTGAGATAATATAAACCCGAGATACCTTTCAGCTGTCAGCTGTTTCACAACAATCGATACGTTTTCGATATCATAAAAGGCGCAATAAGTCAATAACCAGCGCACGTAACAGACCACACATAGAAAGAAGTTCTTTTTAGTTGAGATAACATAAATGCGGTACACTTTTGCAGCGGTACTCACCTTGCCACAACAATCGATATCTTAACGATATCAAAATAGTTGCAATAAGTCAGAAAACCAGCCCACATCATAACAGACTCCCCAAAAACAGTTCTTTAAAGTATAGATAATGTAAGGCCGACGCACCATTCAGCTGTAAGCAGCCTGCCACAACAATCGATATGTTATCGATATCATAGTAATCGCAATAAGTCAGAAAACCATTCGACATTATAACAGCTCTCTCTCTCTCTTTCACACACCAATACACCTCTCAAAGCCTCACAATCCAGTGGCAGTTGTAAACGTGAAGCGAAATGTAATCAAGGATTATCGAATTGTAGGCGCCACTCCGCACCGAGGGGGTCATTTGGTCACCCAATCAGGATGGGCTGTGTCGCGCTGTCATCGACAGCATTATCCAATATTACACAGTTAAATGGTATTCAAGCAAAAGTTGCCTCATAAATGGCACAACGCCAACAGACGCTGGAGCGGGAGCAGGAGCCGCCAGGACTCGCTGTCCCTCTTTGGCCGGAGCCTCGCTAGCGGATCAGGCATCGCTCGTTGCCGCAGTCAGTCGGCAGGCAATGAAATTGAAGTTTATCGACATCGTTAAAATTATCTTAACGGGGCATCTTGGGCAACATTGCCGGGGCAGAGCATTGGCCAGAACAAGGAGCCACCAGGCAGCCAGCAGGCAGGCAGGCAGCAGGATGAGGCTGGACGAGGGAGCTGAGGCCAGTCAACGTCATCGACTGCGTTTGCTACTTTTTATTACTTATGCCGCGTAGTCGTTTATATAAATTCACATTTTCCACTTCATTGGGTGGCAGCAGCAACAACAAGCCCAACGATAACAACAACGATAACGATGTCGACGACGATGTCGATGACGATGACGATGATGACGGGGACGTGGACGAGGACGAGAACAATCTCTGCACTTTCATCCTCTGCAGCCACTTTGCATAAGTGAGCGCTGGCAATGCGACAAAGGTGAAGCCCAGAGGAAGGGGCTTGTTGAAATACCCCAAGAAAATTGACACACCGCACATACGCCGCATAAATCTTATGACAGCATGTCGAGGGGGCGGTGCTGCGGGCACCATAATTCGCACGTAAGCGGGGGAAAAAACTCAAAAACGAATTACACACACAATATGCCAAACTGACACACACACACCCGGACAAAATGCCATGCATATGAATTATCGATTGTTCGTGAACTTATCTTAAGGTAGGCTGGGCGTGCGGGGCCGTGCCCAGATTGGGATTACATACGAAATTAAGTGGCATCCCGAATGCCATTCATAAATAATTCATTTCCTTTTTCTCAGCTCGCACCTTCTCGTCTCCCCCCTCATCCCGCTTCTCTGTTCTCATGTAAATCCGGAATGTTTTGCATGCGGAAATGGTCATTTGTTTGGGACTTCGTGCATATCGATAACGATATGTATCTGTAATCGAATTTAAATTTATGTCTTTGTTTGCCCTGACTCCTGTTTGGCATCTTTAGAATGGTTTATCGATAAGAATGCTGAAGCTAAAGCCTATGCAAATAAATGTCAAATGTTTTTGCAAACATGTTCCAGAATTGTTCGATCTTGATCTGTGATAAATGTTCATAGTTTAAGATGTCCACAAGCTAACAATCATTAATTATCAGTCATTAACAAGCATATGGGCGATTAGTGTTATCGATAACGTCCATTTCATTTTATTGAGCATGTTGATCGCGTTGATTCTCTTGCTGTTACAGGCTTGCATTGATATTAAATTGGAGCTTATCAGCCAAACAGTCAACGATAAATGTTATCGATACTATTTAGATAGTCAACCGTTAGTTAAAGGCCAAAGTTTTCATTGAGCATTTGTACAATTCACATTATGTTTTTGAAATACTTTAAAGCAACTGCAACTATTTGTGTTATCGATAAAGTTTACCTTTGAAACATCAACGCATTATTATCTCTATTCCAGCGTGCCTTTTTAGGTGTTAGCTTGTTGACCAACAAAATTATCGATAGCATGTTTCGATTGCATTAGTCATTATTAATTGTTGAAGATAAGCGATAGCTATTATCGATAGCATTTAAATATTTTCAAAACAAAGTTTTGATGAACCGTTTGTTTTAAAACGATAACTCCATTATTTTTGACAATTTGTGTAATCGATCAACTTTGCATAGAAGCATATCGAAATAAACATTGTCAGTTATTATCGCTAGAAAATAGCTCATTTGTCGTCATTATGCCAGCATGTCAGGCGTTACCTTGTTATCAAACATAATTATCGATAACAAGAATCGATAACATTTGACACTAATTGTTAATTGTGCCCCTGTTAAGGACATTGCAAGCAAACGACATCATCAACATTATGCTGATTATCAACCATCCACAAAGTAACCTAAATGTTCTATTGAATCCCTCAGCCAGCTGCCACGCTCCCCTCTGGCACGCCGGAAGAAAAAGAAGCCACTTGTACACGTCATGTCATTGCGGCCATTGTGCGCAACCCTAATCAGCGGACATGGCCAGAGCGTAGCGCCAGCTCCCCAGCAACTCGCCCGCCCCTGTCGCCTATTTTCACTTTGTTTGCCCCTTTACAAGCCGCCCCCTCATACCCCCCGCATGCTCTGCTCCCAATACACAATGACACTTCAGCTCGCTTACACTCGAATACGCATGCGACGTCCAGAGGAGCGGCGCTGGAGCCCCTTCACCCTAGCGCCCCAGCCCCGTGAACGCCCCTCAGCTGCTGGAAGTGCCTGCATTTAAATCGAATAGCTTCATCAGCAACAGGAGCGGGCGACGTCGACGTCAAGCGGAAGTCTTAGCATCCGCTCTGCCGTGCCGCATCTACCAAACAGCAGCCCCTCACGGCCCGCCCAATGGCCACTCACCTGCGTAACGGCAATGGCTGCGTTTAAGCATGAAAGCTGGACCACGCCCCCTGCAAAGCTGGCAAGCCCCGCCCGCTTGCGATAATGACAAAAGTGTTAATAGCGCCACACGCTGCATGGAGCACCGAATGTGTGCGCAGAATTATGCAGGCACTGTTGATGAAATACAACAAGACTGAACAAAAAAAGAAGTTGCATAAAAGAAGATCTAGCCAAACATTAAATACGCTGCACCTGCTAGGCGAAAGGGAATTCAGGCCGACATACTCTGAGGATTTCCAAGTGCAGTTCCATTCAGATTATGCTCAAGTTTCTCTTGTTATCAGAGCTTAAGATTACAAGAATTTACGTGCCAGTCGTCAAAATGTTGCACCTGCTGTGCGTTCAGAAATTCACTTGTGGAATTGATAAAAATAATCTTAAAATGGCTCGAAAACATTTCTGAACTTGGATGGAGCAAAAAAGTACTCCAACTTTTGAGTTTAATCATGTCCCCAAAGAGCAGCCGCACACAATGAAAACAGATAGTTGATATAGCTGCTATATGATATGTATAAAGTTTCGATCCGACTAATTCGGGCATATTTACTGCCTGCAGCAAAAAGAAAGCTCTATAATCAAGAGAGATGAGCTTGCAAGCTTCTCTTGTAGATCCAGAATATCTTTATTTATATGCCAAATGGCCTTAGGAATGTTTTTTTCCAATGCGTTACATATTTTGTAAAAAAAAACCAATACAGTCGCTGTGTAGGGTATTAAAAAAAAACGGTGCAGGCTGAAGAGAAAAACACAAGTGCAGGCAGGCGAGCGCACACACACACACACACACACACACACACTCGCGCGGACATAGAAAAAGCGCTGGAGCGGATGAAGCACTGCAGCACGAAATGCAGAAGTAGCTGGGCGCAGGCGGGCAGGAAATACTCATATAGTGCAGCGCTGAAAGGATGCTGCCCTGACGCCGGCGATGAGAATGAGAATGAGTAGGACGACGACAACGAGTCTACCCCATGCCAGAGCTTGCCGCTCGCCCAGCCTGCGGGTCTTGCACTTTGTTTCCACACTTCACTTTTCATGCACCATGTGCCGTGCAGAGACTCTGGAGGCCACGTCGAACTCGGGTTCCGCCTGCTGTTGGTTGTTGTTGTTCTTGTTGTTTTTTCTCCTTGCAGCTCCTTCATCAACGTCTTAAGCGTGCGCCAGAATCCTTTTCATTCAATGGCAGCATGTTATCTATGCATCTCTCTATTGCCTCAGTCGCAGTCTCAGCTTCAGCTTCAGTTGCAGCTCTCTGCTGGCCGCCATCCGCAGCTACGCCTGCTGCTTACCTTTGCATCAGCTAGCTAAGTAGCACTCCGTTGCCTGCTTATGCTATTAAAGGCATTGGCATCGACACCATCCGCCTCGCCTCGTGCCGCATTCAGTTGCTTTTCTTTTGTATTAAGCGGCGCTTTTCTCTCTCAGCTTCCTTTAGTCAATCCCCAAAGCAATCCAACTAAACCCCAATACGGCATCCTGTGCACCAGTGTGTTCCAATTAATGTGCTCTGCAGCTCAAGATTTAGCTGGCGATAAGGTGACAGCTTTGTCATATAGATAGCACACATATGCTCTCAATGGCTGCTCCATGCAATTTCAGTTTCAATTTTCCTTTCAACTGCCATTAACTTCAACACTATTCCCCGCCAACGCCCCCGCCCCCGCCCCTCAGCCGAAAGACAATATCAAAGTAGGCAAACACGTGCCGCACACATTAAGTATCAAGTCGACATTAAGTCAATATGAATTAAATTTTATTGTAGCTCAGCTAGCTGAGACACTTTGTAGTCAAACCTCTTTTGATTTCCAAATACTTTCAGCTTCAATCAATTTCAATCAAACATTTAAATATGCTTTTAATGTCAATTTTTAAGGTTCAACTTAACAAAATGCTTGATAATATTTCAATTTTAATTAGAAGCTGTACCGCCGAGCAATTAATCGTGCGCTGTAGTATTCAATCAAGCGCTTCGATCAACCTGCTATTCAATGTGCTACAACATAGATTTAATAAAAGTACATTATATGCCTTCTTGTTATTTTCATTTGACAAGCTTTAGTTAAATTCTGATTTCACTGTAGTCCATCAATCTTTGTCTGTACTTTTAGCCATTCAATCAATGCGTTGCAGCATTCAATCAGACGTTTCAATCATAACTTTTAGTTCCAGTTCTACCAGTGTATTCTGCGCTTAGTTGACGCAATAAGTTTGAAGCCTTCAAGCAATTGTTTTCAACTCTCAGCTTGAGCTTAAATGCAGCATTTAATTAACGTTTTACAGCACCTCAATTCGTTGTCAAACATTTTCATACTCTAAAAAATCAACTCTTTGAAACCGAATCAATTGTACTTCAAATACATTGTCCTTATCAATCGCCTTTTGTTCGCTTCTCAATGCGCTTCACAATTTCAATCTAGCTTTCGGTCAACTTTGCTCATTCTTTCATTAAGTTTTTAATGACACTGTTGGCCTTTGGGCTGCAGACTGACAGCGAAGAAATATGCCACAAATATAAAGAAAAGTTTCTAGTCACTTGCAGCAACTAACAGTCTGTGCTGTCAGTCAGTTGCCAGCAGCAGCAGCAACAACAACCACAACTTGTTAAGCATCCAACTGGGCTTCAAGTTGGCCTTAAAGCCTGGCCAAAATGCAAGCGACTCGAATGTGTGGCAAATTTATTGCAATTAAAGTTGTTTGCTGTGCGAACCGAATTCCCAGGCACTGTGTGGCAAGTGGCAGTTGCCGCATTTAATGTGTGTGTGTGCCCAATTTGTGTGTCGACACGCTTCAGCGCCAACAGTGGCTGCAAAAATTAGCAACGAGTAGCTGCCTTTTTCACGCTTGACGCACTGCAGCCGGCCGGCATTCAGGATTCAGCCTCCATTCCAGTTGCAATCTTGGGAACTGCCAAACACCACATCCCCTAGCCCGCCCCCACTCCCCCTCCTCCCCAAGCCACCGACCCCTTTGGCTCGTCGTCGCACACATTTTGCCAAGTGATTTATGAGCCGCGCGGCAGCATTTAAACATGAAAATATTTTTCGTATATGAATGGCAACTCTGCCAGCGAGTCGCTCCGTCTCACCCCCCCCCCCCCCCCTGTGCCTATGCCTTGCAGCTGACACATGTCTGTTGGGGCCGACTGTCAGCCTCGGCGACTGCATCTTTAGACCCCAGCGAGACGTACAGATATTTTGCAATAAAAGTATAAACAGCATGCAAATATTTTTGCGTACACTGTCCAACTGTCCATTTGCTGAACCACCTCCTTTGCCACGCCCCTATCTCACACGCCACCCCGCGCCCCTCTGTGCGTCTGCCAAAAAACGCAACAACAATGAGTACATAAATTTTTGCTGTAAATTTTCTTTGGTTGTCAGTGGCATTTTGCAAGTGTTCGCCCAAACCAAAAGAAGGGCTCCACTGCCATCACCTCTGACATCGCCCGACCCCCGCTTGCCGCTACCCCCCTACAACAGAGACTCACCGAGCCTCTGCGCATTTCTACTCATTTCAATGCCAACCGCAAAAAGCTTTTTCATTCTCCGGTTACTTTCTTGGCTTTGGGCTTGGCCAGCTGTTACTTTGTTGCTTTGCAGGCTACTTCAAAATGTGGTTTTTGTGTGAATTTAATTAAATATTTAACGGCCGCCTTATCGAAAGCCTGACCACGCCCCTGTCGAACGCCCGCCACCCTGAAGCTTCGGTGTGTTTGCTCTTTGGCACTTTGGCACAATTCAGTTGTCTGAACTGAACATTGTCTTAGTCCTTGAAGTGCTGCCCTGCTTTTATGGATAATTTTCTTTCCTTACATCAATCAACCATATTAATCGCTTGAATATCTAAAAGCTTGCCTTCTGCTTAAATTTTCTGCATCTATATTCCCGGACAGTGCCAAGTCTCATATCTTTCGTTGCGTACAATCAACTGCAGCTGAAATTATTAGTGCTTCAATCAGCTTCAATCAAGTAACTATAGTTGATCTCTTGTTACTGTTGCTTGCCTCATGATTTTCAATTTATCCCAAAGGGAAATGCTTTGGTATTAATTCGCTTCCCTGCTTAAACAGTAAAGGTTTCTAAACTCTTTTGGATGTAGATGCTTTATCAATCAACTATTTCAATCAACTGAATAATCAAAAGCATGTATTTTACATACAAATTCTGTACCTCAATAAGCTAGCAGTTTCCAGTCTCATATAAAAACAACTGCATTTGAAATTGTTCACCTTTCAATCAGCTTCAATCAAGTGACTAACAACTATGTTGTGTTCTTATTAGATCAAACAGTAAAATCAATATTCTCTTCTAATGGGTACAATTCAATTCCCCTGTTAGTTGCCGCCCAACCAAATCACTTGTTCCCATCAATCAGCTGCAACTGGTAAAGCATGCTTTCAATCATCAATCAATTAACAATGCAAATTTCTAATAATTCTCTTCTTTTACTCGTATTTTGTTTACCGCATTTCAAATAACTTTTACGTTTAATTAAAATTTAATTTCCGTTGCATTCGATTTGCCTCAATCAGAATCACTCAATTGACAAGCAGAACTCAAAATTAAATTTAGTTTTTTGTACCCTGGCAAAAGGAGATACACTATGAGGATGTTTGGAACATGGAGTGAATGTCAGTGACAAGCAACCACATAATATGTCTAGTTATAACCGCACGACTATACGACTATACGCAACCATTGAACTCCGCAATTAAAAGACTTCATGCTGAAACTTGATAATATCCTTCCCTTAGCTTGTTTACTTGAGTTAATTAACTCTCAAATGATAACAAATA